CAGAGAGATGATTATAATGATGTATTTGACTTGGAAAACGGAAATAAGGGAAATGAAGACAATGTTGCATGGAAAATCAAAATCTGAGGACTTAATAACTGAGATAGAACACGTTCAATTTGACAAGGACTTAAAGACAGAGATACAAGATGCAGAGATTGAAAACAAAGAAGAAGATAAAGACAATGAGATTAATTATGTAAAATTAACTGAATATGAGGACAGTAACAATAAAAAGGAGATTGTTGGAGATATATTGAAATTAACAATGGAAAAAATAAAGAGGATGGGAAGAGACAAAGCTGGATAGAGAGATGGAACAGAAAAAACATAAAAAGCTTAGATGATTACACAGGGATTAACAGTGGAATGACAAAAAAGAGAGAAAAGGGTTGGAAAATACTAGGAAATATAGGGCAAAATAGAAGAGTCCAGGACTTTGGCTCACAAAATGATTACTTTGAGATTAACAATGGTAAAATAAGGAAAAGAGAAAAGAGAGGGGAAACAATGGGACAGATAGGGCAAAATAGGGGAACACAAGACGTTAGAACACAAAAGAAAAAAAAGGGGAAAGAAAAGGGTAAAAATAAAAAAAGGGAAGAGAGTAAGGAAGATAGAAATGAGAGAAGAATATGTTACAGATAGTTAGAATTAAAATATGGATTGAAGCTAAAATATTTGAAAATTTGATTATGTAAAAAGAAAAGATATTAATGGACATAATGAATTAATTTTTATTAAGATGTTGGATGATATTATTTGAAAAATTGATGGGTATAATAATTGGGATATCATTTAAATACCTATAACAATTGTAATAATTTGAATATTCTCAACAATACATTTATCTAAACAAAAAGGAAAAGAAAATTGAAATGATATAGGATTATGATTTAATTAAATAAGATTTATTTAATTGGCTTTTATATAAATGGTATTGTTAAATAGGCAGAATTTAGGGAAATAATTGGGAATTGTATTATGTTGTATTATTTGAATTAAGAACTTTGTTTAATTGTTAAATTGGTATATTTTTAAGATTAGAGATAAGATTTAAATTTGATGAAGTAATAATTAAATAAAGATTTAATGAATATTATATGAAGTAATAACAAAATGTAGGGAAGTTTTAGAAATTGAAAGAAGATTCAGAAATATAAACATGTTTGAACTGTATTGTTGTTGTTGTTTTTGAATTTTTTTTATTTAAAACAAAAACAAAACATAAAATCACCACCATTCAAATACAATTACAAACAGTGTATCGATCAGTTAAAATTCTTTTGTGCTCAATCCCTTATCCCAAAATACCAATTATTTAATTTCTCTTATTAACAGTTTTATATGTTATACTCATTTAGCCATTGTTTAACAAAAGAAATCTTTTCATATATTTTATCATTACATTAATTTCCTATTTCATCTCCATGCTTTATTATCTAGCCATTGATAAAACAAGTCCCAGATCAAACAGTATTGTTTATCTTCCTGTTCTCTAATTTCAAATGACAATTTACTCATTTCAGCAGAATCTATAATTTTCTTAATAACTTCCTCCTCAGTAGGTATCTTCTCACCTTTCCAATTTTTAGCAAAAACAATTCTAGCCGCTGTTAAAACATTCACAATTAAATATCTCAGTTCTTTGTTATATATTTCTGGTAAAATCCCTAATAAAAATATCTCTGGTTTAAAGTCAATGTGTTTCTTTGTCATTTTTTCCAACCATGTGTGGATTTTAGTCCAATATCTTTTAGCTTCTGTGCATGTCCACCATATATGGTAATATGATCCTGGAGTCTGATGGCATTTCCAACATTTCTCCGATTTATTCTTGAACATTCTGGCTATTCTCGTCGGGGGTAAATGCCACCTGTAAAACATCTTATACAAATTCTCCTTATATGCTGTAGACATTGTCATTTTATAATTTTGCAACCACAATTTTTGCCATTTCTCTAAATCAATCCCGTGACCAAAAATTTTCCCCCATGCTATCATTGTCTCTTTAACTTGTTCCTTTTCCAATTTTACCTCTAATAAATAACCATACAATTTTTTAATTACATAATCATCAGACCCTGTCAATATCTTATCTAAATTAGTCAGAACATTGTAAAAACCTTCTTGTTTAGAATCTTCTTCATATCTAGAACGTATTTGCAAATAAGAAAACCAATCCATCTTAAAACTTTGTTTTTCCAATTCTTGCTTCGACTTAAGTTCACCCTTTTCATCCATTAATTCACTATATCTAATGATTTGTTCTCTTCTAAATATTACTGAATATGAAAAAGCTTCAATCGTCGATACCCAGACTGGAATTTTCAAATACTGTTGTTTTTTAATCTTCTCCCAATTCAATAACAAAGCCTCGCGTATATAATGTCTCCTAAAATACCCCTGTATTTATATTCCCTTATACCACAAAAAAACATGCCACCCCATCAACAAATCATGACCTTCTAGATTTAATAGTCTAGTATTCCTTAATGTTATCCATTCTTTAATCCACATCAAACTTGTCACTTGATAGTAAAGTTCCCAGTTAGGTAGGCCAAAACCCCCTCTCATTCTAGCATCTTGTAGCAACTTTAGTCTTATCCTCACCTTCTTTCCCTGCCAAATATATATTAACACCATTTTATTCAATTCTTCAAAGAAGTCTTTCCCCAATCTAATTGGAATTGTCTGGAACAAATATAAAATTCTGGGCAAAATATTCATCTTTATAGTTGATATCCTTCCAATCAAAGAAAGCTGTAAATTTTCCCATTTCGCCAAGTCTGTCCCTATCTGTTTTTTGAGTTTATTATAGTTATTTTCTTTAAGCGTGCTACAACTTGCTGTCAAATATATCCCCAAATATTTAACCTTGTTTGTGACCTGCACCTTTGATATATCCACCAATTCTTCTTTTTGCTTTACCAACATATTTTTAATCAGAATCTTCGTTTTGTCTTTGTTGATTTTCAAACCAGCTACTTTCCCAAACTCTCCTATTTAATCTATCAGTGTAGTTATTGATGTTAGTGGATCTTCAAGAATAAAGATCCAGGTCATCTGCGAATGCTTGCAATTTGTATTAACTGTATTGTTAATAGTGAGAATTTATGGTAAGAATTGTGAAATGTATTATGAGGTACTATTTGAATTAAGATTTAAGGTGGATTAATAGAAGGTAACCGTTTTGATTAAACTAATATGAGTAAGTTTACTATAAGATGGTAATAGTTGAGATATGTGAGCCAAGATTAAGAAATAAATGTTATGGCAAAAATAGAATATATAAAATTGTGTTAAAGATGGAACAAAAAGTTGAGCAAATTTATGACCAGATCAATGCTCTGTTCCGAAAAGATGTATTGTATGTTTGTCTCTGTGTTTTAAAAAAATTAAAAAAAATGCAAAAAAAAAAAAGAGAAGAAGATCTTTTTGGATCCTGAGTTTGTCTTCTGGGATGTTGGCTATTCCTGCCAGCTTAGTGTCATCTGCAAATTTGATGAGTTTCCCTTTTATTCCCTCATCTAAGTCATTTAAGAGTACTGGCCCTAAGACATAACTACCCCACTGCTTACTTCCCTCCATGTAGATGTAGCATAGGGGTGTCATGGGCCAGATGCATCATGTGTAGGCCATGCCCACCCAGATCCACAAATGCAAAAAAAGTCATGATACGTCACAATACGTCACATGACGCGATCGAGTTTGACACCCGTGATATAGTACCATTAAGAACTTCTTGTTGACTATGGTTTGTCAGCCAGTTACAAATCCATCTAGTGGTAATGCTGTCTATCCCACATTTTTCTAGTTTACCAAGAAGTAGGTTGTGGTCTACTTAGTTCTTAGTTTTTTCTTAGATCTAATTTATAAGGTTGATGGCAGCTTATAAAATTGCTTTTATAATCTATCAACATAAACACATACACACACACACACACATTTATAGATCCTTTGTTTGCCCTTCCCAAGCATCTTCCTAAAATCTGCAGGAGTTTAAGGAGTTGCAAGGCCTTCCAAAGCTCTTACAATACTTTTAATAATATGGAATAATAATAATATTCCCTTTTTGATGGCTTCTTAAATGTCTGAAAAGCTTTTTGTTTGGCTTTCCACTAAAATATATTAACTCAATGAAGTAACTCCAACAATTATTGTACAGCTAATATCCAGAGGTTCTTGTGGAGCTATGAACTAGAGCAAGGGTCAGCAACCTGTGGCTCTGGAGCCGCATGCGGCTCTTTGGGCCCTCTGCTGTGGCTCCCTGTCAGATGATCCCACCACTGGATGGCCCTCCCCTCCCAGTCACTCCTTGCCTGGCCTGAGATGGAGGCCAGGGGATGGAGAAATGGCCAGAGCAGAGACAGAGAGATACAGAGAGAGGGGGAGGGAGGAGAGAGGGAGGGAGGGAGGAGAGAGAGAGAGAGATGTCAAAAGGATTTTGTGGTTCCTGGTGTTTTTTAACAACTGGTTCTCTGCCCTAATGACTAGCTGGGTAGGCATGGCTGTGGGGGGGGGGTCATGTTACCGGTAGAAGTGAGTGACATCGAGTTGGTCATGCCCACCCAGGTTTTGTGGCTCCCGGTGTTTTCTTTTCTGTGGGAAACGGGTCCAAATGGCTCTTTGAGTATTTAAGTTTGCAGACCCCTGAACTAGAGTACTGGTGCTAATACTAGAGGAATACAACAAATGTTTTTTGTATTCTGTGTCCAAAAACTGACTCTGTATTCTAACCCTAATTTGCAAAAACCATAGGGTTTTATGATTTCAATATAGGAGAATATTTGTAGCTCAGGGTTGAAATGAGGGGTTCTTGATGCTCTCTGGGAGGGGTTGTTTTCTTGCATTGGGTATGTTACCTAATTTGGGTAATGAAATGTCTGCAAGAATCCAGCTCAAAGAGCACCAAATACCCTTTTTATGTTTTCTTTTACATAAAGTTTTTTTTTTATTTCATGTATAGCATCCTAACTTTACATTGTTACTTTACGCAGGTCTACGAAGGAGAAATTACACCTCTTAAAGAGAACATGAACAATGTTAATGGCTTAGCTCATCAGTTTACCTCATCTGAGATTCCACTTTCTCCATATATGCTCAACCGGCTAGAAGACATGAATGGAAGATGGAAACTCCTGCAGGTAAAATGTACATCTTAAGAACAATCAATACTGTTAGGGTGGTGATTTGGATATTTTTATCTGTTCTGATTTTCTCTCAAGCAAAGCAAGAAACAAACAGATCCTACTAGTGTTTAGTAACACTAGTAAATTGGGCATCATTGAGAATGTTATATAGTATTCTAGTTGTGGGATGTCTGTGTATGCTTCTGTAATTGTTTTTCTGAAGGCTAATTAAATCTTTCAGGATAATATAATTTCTCTGCAGCTTTACTCCTGCTAGTATATGAGATGAGAATTTTGGAAGAAGCATAGAAAGTTGGAAGGAAAAAACATAGAAAATTGGTTCTATATGGAAACTAACTCACTTAAGAGATTGAGTAGAAAGACAGGCCTTTTTTCCCAAATTGCAAACTAAGAAAGATCAGCAACTTAGAAAGATACTTAATGCAATGAGAACTATTATTAATGAAAATATTTTTTTAAAAAAATCTAATATTATCACACAGCACTAATATTTTTTCTAATTTCTTGAACATAAAAATACTTTATATTTTTTATTTCCGCTTCAAGTTCTTTTGGAGGGAGTTTTTTTCAGGTTTTTCTGTTTTAATTATTTGTATTTGGGCTGTTAAAAGTATTTAAGTTTCTAGTTTCTAATTAAATATTTGTTTGTTGTAATTCTATGTTGCTTTAAGGAAAGATTAGAAATTGAAGTTTATTTTTAAGTAGTTCTTTGTCTTTATAATTCAATAGATTAATCAGTGGATCTTTCTGCTCTTCACCCTGAATTCATTTATGTGATATAAATTATAATAATCACTATGACTGGTTTACTGATTTGTGTAAAGTAGAACATACACACTATTTTATCACTTTTTAAAAATTGTACTAATTTTTACTCTAAAAATTACTCTAACCGCATTTTTGTAAACTCAAATGGTGTAATATATGTTGATTTCTTGCTCATTCTATTAATAGTCATTATATTTAATTATATAATAATAATTATATGTCAGTCTCTTTGGTAATGTGATATTTTAACATCTAAATGAAAAAGGTTTTGTTTTGTTTTGTTTTGAAAAAAGTGTAGGGTTTGGTGCTGGGCAGCCCACAGTTTTGAGCTATTTTGACTTTCTCTGAGGTCAATTTCAATTAGTGTTGATTCAATAGCCAAATCACAAGTAGTTATTAAGCTCTCTCCCCTAGTTAAATTTATCTCATGATATATGTATTAAAGACATTTGATATATCTCCATTTATTTTAATCTGGCTTTAGAAGCTCCTTTATATATTATTACTAATTCTGAAATTATTAAACTAATTACAGTGGACTCTATATCTTATAAGATTCTACGGTATGAATCTGATCTGTTATGTGGCATAATAGCAAGAGATTATTAATCTCAATTTATTAATATATGAATTACTTATTCTATGGACTAGTTCTGGCAAGGGCAGAAGAGAGGTGTGTAATTAAAAAGCTAGATGACCACTGCTTACAATTTGTGCTAAAGAACCAGTTATCCCCAATTTCTAGGCTGCAACAACCCAGCAATGAATCTGATCTGAAATAGACTTCTCTTATACAAGCCCTGCTGAAGCCCTCAAGCAAGAAATAGTACAAAAAGCAATGATTCACTCAATACTGACTTTGAAAGAATATTCTTTTACAAGAAAGGATGCTATTAGCATTATTAGTATAACTATCCCTCCTATTGACACCCAAACAATTAAGGAAAATAGAGCATTACTGATTACCCTTATTACAGATTTGTTTATGGCTACCTTTCATTTCATATTTTTTAAGATAACCTGAACTCTATAGAGCTTGTCACACCTGTCGCAATGTGTACATCATTCTCCCAAAGTTTTGACAATAGTGATTTATAACTTTATTATAAAAATTCAGGAGGATTTAGTGCCATCAGAGAATATTGAGCTGATAAGTAATGAAAAAGTCTCAAGGCAAAGGCTTCAGGGTACTTAAGAAGAAACCAGCAAGGCATTCTTATTCATTGTAAATGCAAATTACAAATTGAAAGTATATTTTACCATTAGTCCTTCTACAATTATTCAAATTATTATCAGTGCAAGCCAAGTTACTTATCAGACAAATCAAGAAATTAGGCATGCCTGTACATGCAAACTTATTTCATTCACTTAAATCTAAGGAGTACAATTATCATCCTACTGTATTTCATTTATGGCCCTAAGGGTTCTTAGAATACCCCTCTCTCCCACAATGGTATGTTTTTAAAAACTGCCTTCAAGCTTACTGAGCTTAAGACAGCCGTTGAATGCTTTAAAAAAATCCTTTCCTATGATAGGACCAGGTGGGTTTTTTGTTTTATTTTGTTTCACTTGAAGCAAATTTTTTCATATAACCTTTTTTAATGAAAAAAGTATCTTTGAAAATTCAACTCACCTGTTCTGGCGTTATTTTCACTATTCCCTTACAACTTTCAGGAGGACAGAAAAAAATTGCAAACCTTATGTGATTAATACAGTATAGTCTTCCCATCACTTAACTTTTATAGAGCACTTCTTGGCTATATTGCACATAATTCTTCTTTATTCCTTTCATCAGTAGGAATCCTACACAACATCCAACAACATTAATCCTGTAGAGAAAAAAATAATCTACTAACAAAGAAACTTCTATTTTCAGAACAAAACTCCATATAATACAATATTTTATTAGACAAATTAATCAAGTGTAAAATATTATTAGCCTAAAAATGGCATTCTTGATATCTGGCACACAAAATTCTACTGTCTCTCTACTGGAAATTTCATACAGGTAACTGTTGTCATCATATTAAATGAACTTGTTTGTGAGAATCAAATAATAAGTTATATATTAAAAGAACAATTGCTGGCTTCTATGATTATGGATTAAAGACATGAAATCAGTGGGACAAGTTAGTTATTTGAATGAGAAGTGACGTCAGTTAATAATCTGCTTCTAGTGCAATTAATTCCTTAAGTGTATATATTTATGTAAAAAAAGCATTTCATTTTGCTGGTTCTCCAGATATTATTAACAATTAAATTTCTTGATGCATTTATAATTTTTGCAACCCCTATTTTTGTTGATTCAGAGAGGATATAATATACAAACCTGAAACAATTTTTTGCAAACTATATTTTTGCAAACTATATTTTTTAGAACTTAGGTTCTTATTTCAGTGTAATGATTTTCAGATAGCACACAATAACACTATCAAGAGATTTATTTTTATCCATAATGGATATTTTTATTTTATTTATTATTATTAAGTTTATTTGCCATCCAACTCAACCACAAGGTGGTTCTGAGAGACTTACAATGTTAAAAGTATAAAACAATGCAACATGATAATAGTATAGTATTTAGGCTTATACAACACTTTACAGCACTCTCTGGGTGGTTTACAGTATAGAAGCATTATTTGCATATTTCCCCAACAATCTAGATCCTCATTTTACTGACTTCAGAAGGATGGAAGGCTGAATCATCTTTGTGCCTCATCAGGATCAAACTCCAGGCTATGGGCAGAGTTTGCCTGCAATAATGCATCTTAACCACTGTGCCACCAGGGCTGTTATATACAATATGTATACAATAACAGCAAAACACTATAAAAATACAAATTATCAGATATCAGATATGCAGTATCCTTTTTTTAAGCAAAGAGCATTACTTAAACATTGAAAGACCTAAAGTTGGGATAATTTGCCTACAAGGAACTAGTCCTATTGCCCATAACTTTAAATATTCCTTCAGAGAATTTTGCAAAGTAGAAATAAGCCAAAGAGTTACAATTGATTTCTGTTACAACATAATCACATTTCTTAAGCATAGGTTATATCTTGATTTATCCTTAAGCAGTCTATTTAAGCACTGCAGCCAGCAGTCAGCAAAAGTAGCCTGCACTACTGCACTACTTCTAACCACTGCGCCACCACAGTAAACGCCATTTTCCTGCAAAACCTTGCAAATCAGGATCACATGACTGTGGGATGTCACAAATAGCCATAAATGTAGGCCAGTTGCCAAGCACCTAAAATATGATCATGTGATTGTAGGAAGGGGTTATCTGTTAGAAATTTTAATCTAGGTCATAAGTGACCTGGGGAAAGTCTGTCATAACTTCAAATGGTTACTAAGTAATCAATCATAAGCCATTACTATTAATACAAAGGATGAATAAAGAATGAAAAAGACTTCTGAGTAAACATAATTAAATATGATAGATAAAAATATGGTAAAAACCATGTGACCTAAAAAAAAACCCCAAACATAGAGACTGGAAGATTAGGAGGAATAATGTGTTTAAAATGGCTTAAAGCACATCCAAGATATGCTTGAGATGGCAGAGTAATTGATCACAAAACTTGTGTCCCATAACCATCAGACCTAGGGCCTACCTGCCACAAGCAGCAGAAGAAAACAAATTTTTTAGAGAACCCTAAATCTAAAAATACTCCAAGAGGAACTAATAAAATAGAATAAAAATTAACATCCCTTGAGAGCTCTAAGGCAATGGACTATAGAAGAACAGAGATACAGAGGCAGCTAACAAATTTAGCAGGGAATTAATCTGGAAATGAAACCCACATATAAATCAGTCACAAGATCTGTACCAATTACACTTGCAACAAATCACCAGTAGTGCCATAGATATAATTTTGTAAGGAGAAGCTGAAATGCATGCATGCAGACAAACATATTCATGTTCATAAGAAAATAAGCAGCCTCTAATGCTGGATTCTTCTAATATTCCACTTGGCCAACGAGGAAGAGGTGGTGTAGGTGAATCTGTAATCAGAAAGTGTTTTAGGGATGTTTTGTGTTGCTAGACCTTGGAAGGAAGCTATATCATTTGATTTGTCTTTTTTAAAGTGGAAATAACCCCACTTACAGTTGCCAGGATTTCTGTGCTGCAGATTGTGCTGTGTTGATTGGTAGAAATCAGCAGTTTTGTGTAGCTCTTTGCTCTACTTGTTGGTATTTTTTTTCACTCTGATCTGTTACA